TCAAGCAAACCTCCGAAGCACAACGACCATCTCGCGTGCGATTTCCTACCAATGCAATCGTATGCCTGCGCGCAAACCACTCAGCATCAGGTGCTGGAACGTGTCCACACTACTGGACCGGAACTCCAGTAAGCGCCCGGAGCGACGCAATGCACTGGTCGCGATGGAGCTGGCGCGCTACCACATCGATATTGCGGCGCTCAGTGAAACCCGGCTCGTTGAGCAAGGTAAATCGCATGAAGCAGGTGCTGGCTACACATTCTACTGGGTGGGCAACGTCGCCTCAGCACCACGTGAACATGAGTTCGGATTTGCAATATCCGATCGCCTCCATGGCCAGCTGGTGGGTGAACCAACGGGCATCAGCGCGCGAATGATGACTGTTCGCCTACGACTCGGAAGGGGTAAGTTTGCTGCGTTTATAAGCACGTACGGTCCGACCATGTGTTATCCTGATGACACGCGTGATCAGTTCTACACTGAGCTATCCTCCGTGATACGGTCTGTTCCGAGGAGCGAGCGACTATTTCTGCTGGGTGATTTCAACGCGCGCGTTGGGTGTGATGCATCAGCGTGGACAGATGTTATCGGTGCACATGGTATTGGCTCAGCAAATGCGAACGGTGACAGGCTGCTCTCACTTTGTGCCACTCACGGCCTGACGAGCACGAACACACGGTTTGCACTGAGTGCGAGTGATATAGCAACTTGGACGCACCCACGGAGTGGTCACGCTCACCTGCTCGACTATGTCATCGTACGTCAGCGTGATATGCGTGAAGTGCGCGTGACACGTGTACTGCGTGGAGCTGAGTGTGGCACTGATCACAAGTTGGTGCGGACCGAACTGTACATATATTTTCGTAAATCTATGTATTGTACTCCCGCCGTGAACCGGCGCAAATTCAACATTCTCTCCCTCGGTACAGTGGCGAAACGTACTGAGCTGGAGAAGGCGATGGCTGCACCCCTGTGTGATGTGGACTGCATAGCTACAGTGGGCGAGCTGTGGCACCACATTCGCGACCAGGTGACAGCTGCTGCCGAGGAGACCATCGGGCGCGCAAACTGTAAGCGGCTTGATTTGTTTGATGACAACAATGCGACGATTGGCGCATTGGTGTCGGAGAAGAATGCATTGTTCGCTGCACATGTCGCAGACCCAAGCAACTTGGTGAAGAGGATTCAGTGGCGCAAACCTCGACTGCGACTGACCCGAGAGCTCCGTCGCACAAAAGGCATGGTGGACGGAGAAGGCGAAGCAGATGGATTGCTAGGCCGAACGCCGACAACACAAGGAATTCTTTGACTCCTTGAAGGCGGTGTATGGACCGAGATTGGAGCCGCTGAGGACACTGATCGATGGTAGTTCAGGTGCTATCTGCACACAGACTGCAGACATAATGCAGATCTGGTGAAAACACTGACTGTCTCTTGAACAACCGTTCAGAGATTGACTGGCCTAAATTGAACGACCTCAAGCAGCACGATGTGAAGGCGAATCTGGCGGACACGCCGACACTGGATGAGACGCAGAGAGCACTTGCTCAGCTGCGAAACGGCAAATGTGCCGGAGCCGACGGAAGCCCACCTGTAGTATTGAAACACGGCGGACCCGCGTTGTTGACTGCGCTGCACCAATTGGTGCAACGTGTATGGATTGAGGAGGAAGTGTCTCCTGAGCTGAAGGATGCCCTTGTGCTACCACTGTACAAGGGCAAAGGTAGCAAGCAATGTTGCACGAATTATCGTGGCCTCAACTTGCTGAGTTGTGTGGGCAAGGTGATTGCCCGAATCCTGCTCAACCGCCTCGTCAGTCAGGTTGTGGAACCGAACGTGGCGGAAGAGCAATGCGGATTCTGTTCGGGTAGCAGCACGATAGATATGGTGTTTGCGGCTCGTCCGCTGCAAGAGAAGTGCAGAGAACGACACCAGGCATTGTACTCGCTTTTTGTTGATTTCACCAAGGCATTTGATACGGTGAACCGCGAGGCATTGTGGCTGGTTTTGTGTAAGTTTGGTCGCCCGCGTAAGTTTGTAAGTTTAATTGAATGTCTGCACAGTGGTATGCCAGCGAGGGTGCAGCTGAGTGGAGAGACCTCGGATGACTTTGCAGTTGTCTCTGGTGGGAAGCAAAGCTGTACCTTAGCTCCTGCCCTGTTTAATATGTATTTCCATGCAATGTTGTCCTGTGCTTTTGATGCCACTTGTGCTTACGGTGTTCGTGTGGAGCACCGTATTGATGGTGGGTTGCTGAACATCCGTCGTTTCGGTGCGAGAACGCTAGTCTGCGAGACAACTATCCGTATGTTGCTGTTTGCTGACGACTGTGCGTTGTTTGCACACAGCGCGGATGAGTTGCAGCACATGATTAGTGCTCTGGCTTCGACAACGGCAAAATTAGGGCTCACCATCGACACAAACAAAACTGTCTGTCTCTTTCAGCCTTTACCGGAGGTGCAATCTTCAATATTGCCGCGAATCAGCATTGGTGCTGAAGTATTAGAAACCACCTCCCGCTTTTGCTACCTTGGGAGTGTGATGTCGACTGATCAGCAGCTACACAGTGAGCTGCGTATCCGCGTTTTGAATGCAGCGGCGACATTCGGGAAGCTTGAGTACCGAGTGTGGAACAACCATCAGCTTACCGTTAGCACGAAGCTGATGGTGTACAAAGCCATGGTACTGTCCGTTCTTCTTTACGGCAGTGAAACGTGGACGATGTACCGTCGGGATGTGCGATATCTCGAGCGGTTCCATCAGCAGTGTCTGCGACGGATTTTGCGCATCGCCTGGGGCGACAGAGTTGCAGACACGGAAGTGTTGCGCCGAAGTGGGATGCATGCAGTGGACTGCATACTTTTATTGAGACACCTGAGGTGGATCGGTCATGTGAGCCGTATGGATTCGACGCGGATACCGAAGCAGCTATTAAATGGTCAGCTGAGTATTGGGAAGCGGCACGTGGGGAAACCAAAATTACGATACTAGGGCATGATTAAAGTGAGCCTCACACGTTCTAATCTTGATTTCAGATCATAGGAATTGAAGGCGGTTGATCGGCGTGCATGGGGCGATCTGATCCGGAAGACGGATGCTGAGGTGCAGGATAAAGCCCTCATGCATGCAGAGAAGAAGCGGCAGGTGCGGAAGCGGCAAGCACCGATGGGCTATTCTCCATCGACATCCAGCGCATGGTGCTGTAGAACATGCGGTCGCGAGTGCCTTAGTCAGGCAGGCTTAGTGAGCCATGAGCGAGGCCACTCGGGACTACTACCGAAGCGACGACGGGCTCTGCAGAGAACGTAGGCAGAACTGGCGCAGCGTTTGTCGGTACGCTGCATTCGATTTACTAACAGCGTGCTTGCATGCTTAGTCTCTTTATCTCAGGTGGTGGGTTTTCAATTTTACCTTAATGCTTTTCTTTCTCATATAAATGTCTACCTGTACTCTATTCCATTAACTTGCACACCTCGCTTAAGCCAATTGCATTCGATTTCCATAACATTTTCGTGTTCGTGACATTTCGTAAAGTATACTTTCTGACCTCGTGAACTTATCTAGGATTCGTTTGTAAACAACTTATTTCATATGCTCATTAACTTAAGGTTTATGTCACCGTTTCCTCATGCATTAATCGAGTTATTTTCTTTGTATCTCTCTCTCAAGTGATTGGCTGTTTTTTGATATCCCTGGTGTGACTGCGCTTGATGTGCATGTTGACAAGGTGCCTACCTGTCTATTACTCGCTACCTCGTCCATACTGGCTCCAGGAGACAGTTGGTCGTTGCTGAAGGGGACGGGGTGCACGGTCTTTGTGGTCGTGCTAGGCTCGAAGAGTGATTCCATGCACCCAGTGTGGAGCGGACTACGGTCCAGCCACCGCCTTGAGTGCGGTTGATTCCCCAAATACAGCGTGTTTGTGTTTGCCTGTGAATGATTGTGGGCCGACTCCTTTGATGAAACCTGGCTCCCATCCGCATGCCTCCCGGTCTTATTCCTTCGGGTTTACACTGAATATAGGGTGTGTGGATGGAGCTGTGGGTGGTGCAGCGCAAGCCACCCATGGTCCCTCTGTATGCGCAAGCTTCCTGTGGCTGGCCACATTGACAGGCAAATCCGAAACCGGATGCCTCCAACCATGTGTGTGTGTGTGTGTGGGTGTGTCTCCAACCCATGTAAATCCACCGAAGGCGGCAATAGGATTACCTCTCAATTACTCCAGAATTCGTCGTTTGGGAAATGAATTTAAACCATTTGCTTTTTCAGCTACACTCGAGATTGCGTGCGCTGATCGTATCTCGCCTTGTCAAGTTTAACGTCGATAGAGTTGAGCACTGCGGCCTTCAGATTGAGAAATCGAGTGCATTGATGTAGGGATAACGACAGAAAAATCGTTATGCATTCTGATACATACAATGTAACATATACCATGACTCGAGAGCCCTCGTTCACATCTATGAGTCCAAAGTATCAAGCACAGACACTAGTGTAACATGGTGCACAGCGTAAAAAGGTACGTATGAAGATTCTGGGTGGTAGTACTTTTCGGGACTTACTTTTGACTTTGCCAATCCATTTCCCTTTGTAGAATGAAATATAATGAAACAATTAACTTAAATGAATTATTAGAAGTCATGGAGTACAAAACGACTTCCAGGTTGAATTGTGGACTACAAGCACTTTAGCTAGACAGGAATGGTAAGTACAGGGATAGTTCTGTAACCCAGTGTGTAAACCACGATCCCCTACCCAAGAATACCTGAAACTACCACGGAGAACTGAAGGAAGATTAGTGAACTTTGTTAAGTATACCCATCGGAGATATAGTCGCATCTGGTTGGTGGTAAAGCAGAGTGCAAACAGCGTGTCTTTGGGAGAGTTATTACTTTTTGCAGTTAAGCTTACGAGTGTTGCATAGGTTAGTTAATTAAATATATTACGCACCTAAAATGCCGTTATTTAATCAACCAGGCGAAGCAAGTTAAAAATAATCTTACCCATTATAGATATGGCCTCGACGGGCACCTGCTCTCACCAGAGCAGAGACGGCATCTTCAGCAGAAGTACGTAGGACCTAGGAATTATAAACAATTTGACAATTAACATGGTATGAGCTCCGGTTAATACCGAATTCCCGAAGCAGTTAATTATCAGGTTGCAGCTGATTTCGTTGCACCATTATTAGTATTAGTATACAATACTGGAACAATGTACCATTGGTAGTGAAATAACATCTAGTTAACGACAACAGAAAAGGGGAAAACGGCTAGTCAGTGAAAGCATTTGGAAAATTTCCTAGTGTATGATTAAAAATTCAGTTAACTAAACAGTCCACAAGCAGTTTTATACAGCACTTATATTGATTGACCAAGAATGGACATGGGATCCACAGCACTCTGAACGAGTTCGCTTTCGTGATCACCAGTGGGCTAATTTCAACACAACTTACTTGTTGTAATTACAGAAATGAGTTATAGACTACAGTTGCTTGCCAATTTGTGTCATCGTACATCATTAGGATGAAGGCCAAAACATCCTGTTGGCTCGTTATAGCTAGGCTGATCCATACAGCAAGTACGAGTTCGTAAAGCACATCGCGTTTATTTCCCTAACATTCCGCATCTCCACAACCCTGAAGTAGGAGTAACCGTTGGCCCACAGATATATTATGTGATGTGTTCTGCAACTACCGACACTATACCACCTGGATAGGAAGCGCAGTATAGCCGATTAGTTTTAGACAACAATCCGTTCCACACGCTAACTACTCGTAGATATACTCGCATTTAACTGTCCCAAACGTGATTAAGATGTTCGGGACATCACAGTCCCTAGATAACGCATTCGAAAACGGTATCCATGGTGTCTGAATAAATTTCTGAAACGCATACACATAACATTTCGGACAACAGCCCCTTTCATTACATTTTTTTCTCTCGGCCCAAATATCTATCATGTGATTGTAAAGAATCCTGATTCAGTGGCAGGTAAAAATAGCAGAACGATTCTGATTACTCTGTGTAACATAATTTGCAATCGCATCCATGTTTATCTCTGAAAATGTATTTAAGAAATGTTATGGAAAAGTTGTACCATTATTTGATCTGTTCCTTATAGAGAACAGCTTCTCGCATAGTCGAGGAATATACAATTTATTTATTTATTTATTTAAGTGTTGTTTCGTTGAAGATTGCGATCATATTCTCAGTACAGTTCTCTTTTCGATGCCAATAATTTTCTACCCATAAGTCCAGCGTAGTAGTGTGTTGCGCTTAAACCAATTCTCTAAACTTCTCTGTTGAGTGAGAAGCAGTCCTAAACGGGAGAATGCTGTTCGGTTATTTATATCATTCCAAAGTTATAAACCAAATGTAATGAAACCCCTTAGTTGTAAGTTAGGAGGGCGCCTACTGGACGCTTAGTTATAGTGACAATTCCTAATTGTCGGTTTTTCGTTTCGCTATTGTTTGTTTCTTGGCAGCTGCTTAAATGCATCAGTTCTCTTATTTGATTGGCCAGTTCCTTTTCACCAATACCGTTTCGTCGAACACAAGTGATTAGTTTTGAATTTTATTGCTTCCCATTTTACCGCTTGCTTCATTCATCGTCTTCTGTGTTGTTGGTTGGCTCCAAAGTGTCAGCAAGTTTACATTTACAACTATTTACCCTATGTGAGTTCCCACCTATACAACTCTATCTTAGCTCCTTTTCCGTGTTCTCATTGCGCCATGAGGTGCGAACGGTCTGAGGCTACAGAACAGTTGCTACTAGTAACATCGTGGATGAAACTAAGAAAGGGATATCTGGGAACAGAATGCCGGTAGCAAATAAGTTATACATGTGTACGATGACGGGGCATCAATACGCCTTTTCTTGTCTGCTATACAACGACGCATTTGTGTCACATGCCGCTGCTGATGAGCGTTGTGAAAAAGAACGGTCCATTCCTTCGATTGCAGACAGCAGTTCTCACTCTATCAACTCAATATCGCCACTCTCATGATGAGGTTTTCTAGTGTGTGATTACTGGTTTATTTTGGAATGAGTGTTGATTAGTGAGCATCTTAGGCTATTTGAGCGTTGTAGCTTTTAAGTACACATGCCTCCTGCTAACTGTGGAAAAGGATCTGCTGGTAATCATATTTAGTTTTCTTTAAAATCATGTTTGCGGCACTCTCTAGGAGTATGGAGTGACCGCTACGTAAGTAGACTACTATACCTAGTCGCAGACTTGTCAAAAAGAGTTTAGATCTCCTATATAATGTCATCATATTGAATTTGATTACAGGGACTCCGTGATCCTTTACGCTGTTGATAACGAGGTCCACATGGGTAGCCGGATGTTATACTGGAACACAGGTCATAGCGTTAGAAACTTCTCACTTGATAAATAAGCCCTATGAGAAACACCTAAAGATTGGATGATAGCTTGTTGTTGAGTCTCGGCCTACACGCCAATTTTGAAAATTGAACAATGAAATGATTTATGCTGGATAAAAAAGGATTGCTTGACAAGTCACGTAGGATAGTGGGGGTAAAACTACACTTATCAAACAATAGGTGGGTAGTCTGTTTGAGCGTTTATCTAGCAGATACGCCGTTGAATAATAGTAGTGTATGTGGGAATTGGACATGAACGACGTGGCAACATGGGGACAGTTAAAGATGATGTATTACATGTGAAGAGTAAAAACAAGAATACTCACATCTGGCCCGCATACTCAGGTTTGCATAACATGCTAATCCGGTTTGGAGGGGTAATCAATATATTCCAGGGTTACAAAGTTTAGGCAACAAAGGGATGGGGCCAAGGGCAACACCGAATCGCTTTTTGAAAATATTCATGGTGGGGAGGGAACAACGAAGTTTGGGAGGGAGTTCCAGGGTTGGCAAACCCGAAGAGAAAAATAATTCCGTCGGCATTCCAGGCAGCTAAACTGTGCACACCATTGCAGAGGGTTACCTCTGAGATTGGTGTTATGTCTGAGTTTCAACAAATGACGGTATAAATGATTTGGGTCACTCAATATTTGGTAGACTAATATGAGTTGGCCGCGCATCCTTCGGTAGCAGCCACTGAAAACTCCCAGTGACTTCAGCTTCTGATGGTAGGCTCCTGAAATTCTTTGTGGCCCTGCGTTGTGCTTTCTCTAGCACTTCTAAGTCGCCCTTCAACCAAGGTTGCCAAGTTTGGATGACGTATTCAAGGTGAGGGCGCACTAAGTATTGTGCCTCATGGGAAAGATGGAAGGGTCGAATCGTCCCAATGCTCTCCGCAGCAAGCCCACTTGCTGGTTTGCTCTCTTCGCAGCTGCCTCTGGCTGGTTTGAGCAGGTAAAGTCACTTTGAATAAGTACACCAAGATCGCGTTCTTAGGAAGTTATTTGCAATACATGTGACCCAAGCCTATACATGTAGTCATACCTACGGCGCAATTGAACTGCGTGACAGTTTTCCACATTGAACGGTAGTGTATTCAAAACTGACCAGTTTGAAATCGTGTTGAAGTCACGCTGGAGCTTTTCGTGGTCGCCTGATTCTTTGATCGCTCGCCATAACTTGATATCATCCGCGAAGATAAGAAATCGAAGTAAATTCCCCCACCAAATCGTTCAAGAAAAGCAAGAATAGACGGGACTCGAGCACCGAGCATTGTGGAACGCTGCGCGCCACCTCAATTGCGTCGGGCAAGGATTCTGGTACGCTCACTTCCAACCAAAGTTCGTGCAGAAAATTGCCTATCCAACGCAGCAGCGGGTCACCAACGCCATAGACCTGAAGTTTATGGAGGAGAATTCGGTGCTTTAAGCAATCAAACGTTTTTGAGTAGTCCAAGTAAATTGCATCAAGTCCTACTCCACCATCAACTGCTTCAGTCCAGCCATTGCGTGGAATTAGCAGGTTCATAGTGCGTGAGTCTTTTTGTCGGAAGCTTTGTTACTCTGGTGTTATCAAGTTGTGCTTTTGCAGCTAATGAATGAGTGCATCAGCTATGATAGTCTCGATAACCTTGGAAAGCACAGCGAGTAGTGTTATCGGGTGGCAATTATTTGGGTCAATGCGACTACCTCGCTTATGAATAGGATTGATGATTCTGCGATTCCATATTGTTGGAATATGGTTCTCCTCCATACAGCGCTGATAGAATATAGCCAGAGGTTCAGCCACATCACTGACCGCTGTCTGTAAAGTCCTCGTTCGAATGTTATCTACCCTAGGGGAGCCGTGAATACGCATGGACACACTTGCTGCAGTAAAAGTAATATTGGATAAAGCTGATGGTGGTACAATAGAAACATGGATAACCGTTGAGCCCATTTCTCTCTGGAAGGTTTGTGAGTAGTGGAATCGTAAGAGATCGGCTGATCGTGTGCATCCGTCAGTCGTGATCAGTGCTGGAATTCCGCGTTGCACCTCACGAAGGTCATTAAGATGCCTGTATAAGAGTTTGCGGTTTGTGCAGTATCTCTCCATTAACTCTTTCTGACGCGTCATCTTGTCCTCGTGGATCAGACTCACACAGAGGTTACGCTGTGCCACATGGACCGTCCTGGTTTCGGAACTCGGGGAGGCCCTGTGAGCTCTCCTTGTTAACTCTCTCAAGGACATGCATTTGCATGTTCTGCTGATCAGAAATGACTTCCTTCTCCTTTGACGACGAAAGGATTTCCGCTCAGACTTGTGCGTCACCAGTATGTTGAATGTGCATATAAAATTGTCCCAGGCGATTTCTGAGGGGCTTCCCGTTACATAGGTCCAAGATACCTCTTTAACAAGCGCGGTCAGCACGTTGTATTGCGTGGCCGTACATAATTTCTCGCCCTTTTCTTCAGGATATTCCGCATAACATACATAGTTGAAAAGTAGTCACATGGTCCCTGCGACCCAGTAGTGTGCTTGAAATTATTCCGTCTACCATGAGTTTTGGTTGGTAGGCACAATGACGGGTTGTTAGCAGTTTGCCATCTGATGGGATAGGTCAAGTGTTTGTAAAGAGGATAGCTGGAAATTGCCTCTTGTAAACAGGGTTTGAACTGCATGCTATCGGTCACCGCTATCTCTAGATCGTGCACATTAAAGTCGCCTACGATGAGAATGTGAGTGTATGTCTTTCTCAAAGCAACCTGAAGAAAGTGGTTCAGTTCAGAGTTTATGTCACACGTAGAGTTTAGTGGGCGGGAAATCACAGCTATACGACATGTGTGTTTGTCCCGCCATCATTGCCGGCACCAAAGCGAAGATGGGGCACGGATCGCTGGATGGTCAATAAGTTCACATCGGAGCTTAGTCGTATAATTCAGAATAACGATACCACTTCTCCCAGCTCTGTCATTCCGAATCAGCGACATACCAGGTAAATTGACTTCAGAATCTGCTATGTGAAGGCTTAACCAGGTTTCAGTAATCATAATGAGATCCCACGGTTGTGATGCCTGGCGTTCTCTAAGTTCGGCCAACTTACTAAGAAGACCTTGGGCGTTAGTATAAAACATGATAGCGTTTTTGATGTTAGAAGTTTGTTGGAGGACAACAAATTCGTGTTTAGTTTTAAGCCGACCGTTCGTCAGTCGGTCGGTTGTTAGACTAGTTCAATTGGGCTATACTTAGTGTTAAACTAGACATTGGTCACTCGAAACCTTAGTACATCAAGTCAAATTTCGATACTTCGGTAACCAATGCTTTTAACATTATAAGTCAATAGCCAGACTAAAAGCATGTTTTAATTTGCAAGACTAAAAACGGTGGATCTTTTCCAGTTAAGCCCCGCCACCCAAAAAAAGATTATAAAAAGGGAAGATATGGAACTTGAACTTTTACTCTCTATTGAAGAGGGTGAAGTTGAGACAAGTCATTAATAATTTGTATGAAAAGGTCCATTTTTCGGTGTCTTTGCCTCTAAACGAACTCACACAGGTAGCTGTCCACTAAAGATCGGTGTGTGCCGCATTGGCGCTTATTCTACATCTTGTAAATGTGCCAGAGAGATTCGATGGTTTGTGTGTGAGCTCCAGTCGTTGGATCCATAAAGTTTTCAGTATGATTAACCGTTTGATGAGTATAACTCATGCCAATCATCAATTCAATGCCTTGGTATGATGCCCACATATCGGAAATGATAATTGAGCCGGGAGCGATGCAGGCCTGGATTGTGTCCAGCAGAGTGGCCGCAGTTCGAGCTGGCACTGCATACAAGAACACTTCTTTAGTCTCCCGGCAAATCCCTCCGAAAATCCACAGCTGGGGAAGGACTCGCTCTGCATGGTTTTTACGACGTGATATTAGGGTTTCATCCATCGCGACACGTAGACCTGGGCCGCCGACAATCGTTGGAGTCTGCAAAAGCTGCCAGGCGCAAATTTCACGCAGAAAGTTCTTCTAGTCGACAGCGGTCGCGTGGCCAATAGGTAACTCCTCGGAGCAGAATTTGCTTGTTGTCAGATTTTTGGACCAGCAATAAATGAATAGGATTATTGTCCTGAAATCCATCCTAGACCGCTGCAGCCAAGTTCCCTTTCGAAGACCGATTTCTTACCGACACTGTCGGGCATCACACCTCCACCTGTCAGAAACAGTTGAAAGTGTCATTTGGTGTCCTCGTCTGCATAAACGTTGATGATGAATCACTCCATGGCTTTGCAAAAAAAGTATTGCTGTTTCCTTGTCATGAACGACCGTCGAAAGCGTCAGAAAGTTCATGTCAGGTTTTACGTGCGAACGTAGAAACTTTTTGGACAAAAATGACCTTAGAAGCGGATAAGAAGTGTTTTTATGGGGCACGTTCACATGCATTATGTACACTGGAGCTGGCAAACAGTGGCGGGGCTCAACTTTTCACGCGTGCCCTTTTTGCACTATTGGTGGGGCTTGATATTTCAGGTGTACCCTTTTTGCCTTAGTGGCGGGGCTTAACTTTTCGCGCGTGCTATTTTTGCATTAGTGGCTGGGCTTAACTGGAAAAGATCCAAAAAAGGTCAGGAACAATTGCACATAATCGTAATCTTTTCCATGTAATGAAAATTGTAAACAAGTAGTTGCAGGAAACCAGCAATTAATCCTCAATTTAACCCATAAATTCTGGGGCATTCAGTCTGTGTACACGTACAACTGATTTTCGGTGCTTACTTTAAATATGTGCAACTCGTGTGCTGGCGACGTGTATGGACTTGGTTCAACCCGAAAAAGCAACAGATTGTCAAATTCCTCTTGTACTCCTTCCAATTGTGACTGGGCATCGGTGATAAATTTGATTGGGATTCGCTCCGCTTCTTGCTGGAAAATAGGGTACATCGACATTATCATAACATTTAAGTATATTGCCGACATACTGTATAGAGAGCGAGTATCCGCGTCTTATTCTAAGCTCTATTCACAGAATAACTACAGGACCATTCCGAGCTCTACAAACTTCCTAACTGAGATCAAGGGAGGATAATGATGCTAAAAATCTCAGTCAAAAAGTGGCAGTAAGTAGTCTCCGTATGACGTTTAAGCTGAAGGCAATCTAAGTTGCTTAAACTATCTTCACAAAAGTTAGTGTTCAACTTTTTCCAAGTATTTTGCTTAATTGGTACAAAATTCACTTAATGCCAATGCATCATACTCCCAAATACCGAATTGCAACACGAATATTTGTGTTATTATCACATGGTGCCATCCCCACTTGCGTTTAGGTCAATTTGTATCCACCGGTACATTTGTTTTAAGCGCCGATGAAGTGTAAGTATTTAGCTGTAACAGACATCCTTATGACAGTTATGACAACAAATGCGTAACGATAGGGCGTCGGTACTTAAACATAGTAGACCGGGTTAATATCACTCAGGCACTTTACCAGTCAGACTTTAATTGGCTAAATTAGCATTCTACACAAAAGGTGGCGAATACGGGTTAAACAGTGTATCGTGGAATCCTGTGCCATCCTATTTGATTCCGCCATCTATTTAGTCGAAGACCGGGATCCACATTCAGACAATGTCTTATGCGAGAACGGGCTAGCGCCAATACTAATTGTGGACTCAAGATTGTTCCAGGAAATTGTGCCCTCATACAGGACAAAGTTAGCGTGTTCCGGACTTGGAGCAACGTTGCATTGTGCTGAAGGATTTGAGGATCTGGAACATCTGGTTCTATACTCAACAGACAGTGGGAGCAGTACTACCATTGGAGTAACAAGCATGTGATGATAAACCGTAGAAACACTAAGGGACCCAGAGAAAGAGTTGAGATGCTGAACACAGAAGGTTTCTTTACTGACTCCAGTGGGTATTATATTCACGAAAGACTTGAAGATTGTACAGTAACAGTTATCGGCGTCTATGGCACAATCTAATAATGGACTATCAGATCGTTAAAAATCTGAACCAATCGCGTCGCCATCCTTTGTGAGACAGCCAAAACACATATTTGACAGGATTTAGTTTAAGCTAGTCAATCAGTGCAACTGATTGGAAGGTCCGTTAAAATGTATCTCTCTCCGAGTACAACATCCGTCCCAGGGCAAGTAATTAATCTTTCCACCTTATCATTATTCAAAGGAAGATTTCACGACACACTGGCACACTTACATTGGATGATAAAGCCTGTGCCCACTGATTGACGACAGAAGCACAGAACAAAGGGCACGCTGCTTAACGTCACCCCAAAACATTTAGCAGGAATAGTTACATCTGTGTTACTGCAAACCTCTTGGTGAGTTGAAGTACACACACACATCTTACTTTATCGATACTGCGTTTCAATACTGCAACCGTCATCTTAACTAGTCTTCGGGATTTTTCAGTCATCTGTTTCTACACCCGTATTAAAATGCTGCTCCATCGCTCCAATAACGGACCGCGTTAGATCACGACGCAACATGATTTATAGTTATTTCGCTGATGTGAACGTTTGGAAGCCAAGAATGTGAAGCTGTGTACCATGAACCAGGATAGGTTAGTAACAATAATCTCCAACTAGTTATGGAAGAGCACTTTTGTATTTTCGGATGCTAAGTGACAGGACTCAGGTTGTGTGCCTACCGAGCGGTCGCAAAAAGTGTCTTCCTGCGTTATTCACTTTTAAATTTTCGGATTTATTCTCACAGAGACCTGCGTACCATCATTCGATTCGGCTCCGCGAGCTCCTCCTACCACTGTTCATCTTCTGGATCTGTTATTCGCGGATCATCAGCAAACTGTGCTTTTGCAATTTCGAAGTCAACCGTGCTTGAATCTTATCGGAGAAGTTATTTTTCTTCTCGTCGCACAAGAACTCTTGTGATCTTGTTTTCAATATATTTTTGAGAGTCACGTGAACATCTTACTACCGTTCCATCAAGTCGCTGCACAAGGCGATAATTGTCAATGTGGTCCGCCCTTGGAACAGTCACTGTGGCCATTAGACAGTATTTTCCAAGTCATCTTGCTTTTTCTCAATCCTACGCTGCCTCGTTACCTATCCACTTACCGGCTGGATCTATAGCACGTACGTCGCCTATCTACACTAAGGAACGTATGATTCATTTGGACGCGACACCATTGACCCCACTGACCTCAAACCAGTGCCGATAGATACGCAACAAAAAGTGAAGCGAAGTCATACACGGTGCGTCAGTCTCTCTATCCTCTTGCTACCCCCGTTGTAATGTACATCCAGTTGCTTCATTCTATCTTGTTATTGTGAAATTACACCATATCACCACCATCAGCGGTCATTACTAGTTCGCTGCCCCATTACTGACCGTGACCACATATGTCAGTAGAATTATTCCATTCTAACTAGTGGTAAGTAGATAAGTGAGAAATCTACAACTTACATTCTGAACTCTCCTTTGCTATCTAATCCTTTTGGAATTGGTGCAACTCACAATGACCAAGTGCACGCCCCAAATGGATATGGCCCATTCGAAAGTCGATTGACCTATGTGTACAAACCGTTAAGTCTGGTCCAGTTTGCTTTAACTGTCAAAAAGCGTCCCATTCGCAGTGTTTAGAGAAGAATACATTCGAAACTAGACAACACAGTAGCAAAATCGAAGCATTTTGGTTCTGCCAGGTGCGCAAATCCATCCATATTATTAGCTGTGTAATTTTCCTAATGAAAAAGTGTGCAAAGCTGGCGGAAACAGTTGAGCAACTGGTGAATGTTAGCACTGCATCTGTGAAAGTAAACAATATTATACTTGAAACTGAACGGACACCTAAAAACTCCCCGTTTAGCCGAAGAAGAGGGCCAGGCGTCCTAACCTCACCGTGGCGTCTCAATCTCCAACGGCCCCTAGCCACATGACTCCACTAAGTGAACAGGTTGTTTACAACACACCTGTTTCTACATTCTTTAAGTGTGTAATAATTAATAATTCAGTTGACATACTCGAAACACAAAACCCCAGAAAGCCCACGGTATAGAATAATTGGACATCCTACTCAGCGGTTGCTTCTAGGAAAACGCCGTCAAAAACACCTGTGACTCAACATGGGTAGCTATCGAAAGTGCGGTTCACAAATCCACAGGTACTGGTGGATTTAAAATGCTCAGCAGCTAATGCTGACGAGGGTGTAACCATACCTACTTGGGAATGTGCATTTTCAAACTGGACTTCTAGTTCTAGCTGACTGGTATTGTTACGAAGACAACGAAGTTTCGGACCGAGTGAAAGTGCCTCAAATAGTGTTCTATCCAGATGTAAAAAGGAAAAATTGTGGACATACCTTTCCGGGTCAGATGGGAACAGGGTGTTTGCCTAAGTTGTGCCAATCTGCCTTCGTATTGAGAGTAGTCGTCGGTCAACTTGACGTTTGACTACATGTTGAACAAATGCTTCAAATCACGTGATTTCCTCCGCATTCACTCGGTCTGAAATTTTGTTGTCTTCGTAACAATACCAGTCAGCTAGAACTAGAAGTCCAGTTTGAAAATGCACATTCCCAAGTAGCTATGCTTACACCCTTGTCAGCATTAGCTGCTGAGCATTTTAAATCCACCAGTACCTGAAGCACAAACCTAAAGTCAGGTATTTACTGACGAACGCGCACTTAGACGCTCTCAAAGCGTTTAAACGGAATGAAAATGTGCTACTCTCTAGGACGGATAAAGGAGCAGGGATTGTGCTTATGGATAAATCGGACTATATCGCTAATATGAATGTCGTCCACAACGATCAATCGAAATTCCGGATGATGGAGAAAGAAAAAGACAAAACGACCTCAATAAAAAAGACAGTAATAATACTACTACGCTGCCTGAAGCAAGAGAATGCAATTGACTCATTGGTTTTTGAGTACACGCGTCCCTCAGGGACAGTGATTCCACGTCTTTATGGCTTACCGAAAGGGCATAAAGAAGGACTTCCTTTGAGGCCAATATTTGACATGTGTGATTCTCCATATCACTTAACAGCGAAATGGCTGGCTAAGCTTCTAGAACCGACCAGAAAAGTCCTAGCCAAACACAGCCTCAGAGATACACTCAGCTTCGTAGACTCCATAAGCCATATGCAGTTAACCGGAAGGAAAATATTTTCTCTAGGTGTAGTGTCGCTCTTCACTAATGTTCCGCTGGAGGAGACGAGAGACTACCTTTGCGACGCTGTTCGATTGCACCACGTGGATGTCGGTCTTTCGAACGAGCGACTTAAACAGTTGCTTCTGCTGTATACCAGGAACGTACAATTCCTGTTCGACTGGAAGATCTACAGACAGAAGGACGGAGTCGCAATGGGCTCTCCGTAAGGAACATTGTTAGCAGATGCATTTATAAGTAAGTTAGAGAACAACTATCTAAACGGAGTTATCGACAAATTAGTCTACTACGGAAGGTATGTAGACGATATATTCCGCATCTCAGATAGGCATCTTTGCACGGATGAATTAGTGAGGCAATTTAACTCAGCTCATTCAAGCATAAAATTCACACATGTATCTGAGTGCAAAAACTCGATGTCGTAATTAGACGTTCAGATTAGCCGAAGATCTGGCGGCTCGGTCCAGCGCAGTGTCCACAGAAAGACAACGTGGAGTGGGCAATATACTCACTTTGACAGCTTCGTTCCGCTCAGCCAGAAACGGAAACTTGTTCGGTGCCTAACCGAGCGAGCAAGAAAGATATGTAGCGAGGACATGCTTTCGGACGAGCTAAACTTTGCACGAAGCCTATTCGGTAGAAATGGCTGTTCGGCGAGGTTCGTTCGGAGAAACATGGAGGTACGAGAAGCGAAGGCGAAAGTGGATTCAGTAGGAAAGAAACCGATCTACTTATCGTTACCGTTCAAGGGGGACGGAATAGCTGAATCAACGTCTAGAAGGCTTTCTGCCGCAATCGCCATAACGTACTATACAGCAAGCCTACGGCTAAACTTCTATTCAGTGCCGACCCTGAATCAACAAGTTAAGGATAGAATTCCAAGGTCAAGTGTTTCCTTTCGTGTATACTCTTTCTCTTGCCCGTGTCGATTAAGACATATCGGAAGAACTACCAGGAGACTGTCCGAAAGAGCCAGGGAACACTGTCCAGCTTGGCTGTATAGCGGCGTGACTAGATCAGTGGCAAGCGTAGTGTCTACACACCTGATCAACTCAAGCCACCCGGTCAGAGTGCATGACGCGTTCCAGCCCATCTACCGCATGCGCAGATGCCACACAATAGCGGTTAGATGTCGTCTACTGGCAGCGGCCGAGGCAATAGCCATCAGGCTTCATGACCCTGACCTACGTGCGCACAAGAAATTTGTCCCGACACTAACTATACCCTGGTCCCCTGTAGCACGGACACTGTGGAAAACACCACACACACACACCCTGTTGATCGCCGTGGGGCCAATCACCTAGCTTGGTCACTCAGACCATCTGGGTTTAGAACCTCTACCCTTAGCTGATGTTTACGTTCATGTCATTCATTTGTGGTGTATTAGCCTGATGAGGAACCACTGGAAACGAGTTTGTTCGCTAACGTCTTTCTGATTTCTACTCCCGGGTCATTTTATTATTTGAAATCTAGGTTGTATCCTCAATGATATTAACTATAAGCGACCTGCACTCCTGTATATCTAACAGGTAAACCAACCAATGCACATAAACCATCACCATGACAGGTATTGCACCCTTTGAGCGCCGTGCCTTCATCCTCAATTTTGTGGTGAGCCATGCTTTCCGTATCAAAATACCAACTTTTGACCGCTCTATCATGCATTTCTCGCAGAGATCAACGGTCTATTGATTAAGGAGTCAACCGTTAACAACTGCGTCCAGCGCTTCACTCACATGTTTGCTTGCCTTTGGCTTGGTCAACTCAAGTCAAGTCACGCCGAACCAGAAAGGTAAACAGGGATGAAAGCTGTAGTGCAGTGGAGATCTGACGGATGACAAATTCGATTATCTCAAACGGTTGAGAATATTTACCAGGGCGTATTACGCTTTGAGCTCTTGTATATTTCCTACCAGCTATTAGATATTATCACTGAGTAAAGTAGGGTATTCATACTTCAGTGTTTTCTTCCAATTACCTTTCGATAGAGCTCAGTCCCTGCTGCACAAGGAAGCGAACACTATGTGCATATTAATGTCATCAACTAAAACGGAAAGTTATCAGCATCTCCAGTGAAAAACATGAAGATATCGGGTCAACTCTCGCGATGTATACCCACTCGTGTGTGACATCAGAACCGGTTACCTATGCAGATCTGATAGGATTCTGACGTCCCTAATGCAAGTGCGTGCACTGAGAGAGGTTTAGTTTTAACTTACCCAGGACTCGTACCTCCCACTACATCCGTCTCAGCTTAGGCCGCCAACTTCTTCGATAGACAAGCGCCTAGGGGTCCCGGATAACTGAATAGATCTCGACTTGTTGCTCGGAGTTGCGGTGTCTCACACTAACCTCCAGTTCCTTGGTTTCACCGGAGCTATCGCAATAAACCAGATGAAGTCAGCCCTGTGAGGTCAAAGTCAATTATGTGTCATCATTAGGATGTCCGGCTTAGCTGGTTTGTCTGTTAGTTATACATAATTGCAAGTTGGTTATTTGTAATATCATTGGGGATATATATATAGTTCATTCTTCCTCTTATTTGTAAGTGCGAATATGTCTATACCAGACTCCATGTGAGCAGCACCTACGGAACTCGAGAGCCTGGATTGGGAGGTGGAAAATGTGCACAATCTGCTTGATAGTTTTGACAGTACGAAACCTGCAAGTCCAGAAGGGCTCCAGCTGTTGATTCTCAAGTCACTGTCAACTATCACTTCGCACTCCGTGACTGATCTGTTCGACAGATCGCTGTCCGAAGATGCATTACGGTGAGATTGGAAATGCTAGGTAGTAAAACCGATTCCGGACGGCAGTGGCTCAAACAAGGTGCACAATTAGCTGCCGATTTATCTAACCTCCGTTTTGGCCAAAGTACTCGAGAAGATCGTGAAAAATGGTCTACTGCAGTTACTGGAGACGAACAACTTGATCACCGCACAGCAAGACTTCACGAAGGTCCGCTCCTGGATCACCAACCTGCTTTTGATGCTGTATGAATGGTTGCAATCATTGATCCGGTGGAAGTCGGTGGATGTAATCCAATAATTTCAATAAAGAGTTCGCCAAAGTGAAGCAGCTGAGAATGTGTGGTGTTGGTGACTCACTGCACAAGTGGAGAAGGTGAATGAACATCTAACGGAGTTGTGTCTCTCCAACAGTGGTGCACTCAAAGGTACACTACTTGGGTCCATTTTATTCCCGTTCAATGTCAACAAAGTTGTTTATTTGCATAGCATGGTTGCATGTCTCTGTGATTGATAAGTATGCACGAAACGGCGACATCGTTTCACAATGTACGTCTTCTGATTTTCCCGTTTGGAATTGTAAAGAGGACAGTTTGTTTTACATTTCATCAAATGGCCCCAGCTTTTTCTGTCGCCAAGTCTCATGTTCGTAGACTATCTGAAGATGTGGAGAACAATTGATACTCCTGACGGCTGTGACGTAGTTCAGCATGACTTCGACCTCCTGTCCAGGTGGTCTGCAAATCTCGATCTTTGAACAACTGAAGGACAGATACTTCGGTTCATTGGGAAGTGACAAGTGAGTGAGCCAATCTGCAACACCAGGACAGATACTGTGAGGTTATTGGCAATACGTCGCAAACTAAGCAGAAGTCCTGTATTAAATTACGCACCTGACCGTCAGTACTCGGTAGCTCAGTTGGTAGAGCAGCGGACTGGTAATCCGTATGTCCGCGGTTCAGTTCCCTGTCCAGGCAGATTACTTTGCAAGGTTTAATTATGGCTTTACTTTCTACCACTTTACACTACTCACCAAACCAGCCAGAATCAAAATCTTGATTTGCGAGTCAACCCAGCCAAGTTGTTATATATGTGCCTGGAAAGGGGTGTTGATGGGAGTACGTACACACTGGTCGGGCAACCGTCGCATCACACACACTTTCCGTGAATGAGCTCGGTGTACTCTCATGCTGTCATTTGAAGTCCGTAGACAACACCAATAGGCTATGTTGAAACGGACTGCGCATGCTTTGAGCGCTCAAACGGAACTTCTACATTTTCTCTGAAGAGATTGCCACGCACCTCTTCTCTTCTGTCGGATCACCCGCCTAATGTCCGATCATTCATGACGAGGTGCAAAGGCTGGAACTTGTTCAACACATGGCTACCAGGCTCATCCTCACTTTACGGGATGTGCCGTACGAAGATCGATGCAGGCGACTAGGGCCTTACACCCTGTCGAATCGTCGCTTTAGTGTTGATCCCGTTATGTTGCATCGGATATTGCATCTGGGTCACTTCCCCATGATGAAGCCACTGCTTCACGTGCGCGCACTAAGCAGCAATCGCGGGCACCGGTACAACCTAGTTGTACCAGACCTAAAGGGGATACCTGATCCTCTAGGCTTCGAGTGCTGAGTGGTGGAATATTGGAACAGTTGACTTGCGAAAACTGTTGCGGCGAAATCAGTGTCGGACTTCAAACAATTTCTGGACACCCACTTTGCGGATTTCAGATACAGGGAGCGCATCGCACCCGAATAGCCTATGGTCCAGTTGTAATATGCAGCAGACGCTCAGGAACCACTGACATGACTCTGCACATGTTACAGCACTAATCTTGATGGAGCAACGCAGACGTATGTCTAGTCGCTCAATATTTTCAGGATTCAGTAATCTTACTGCGCCTTTAAGAGAACCCAGTTATCTTGCGATTTCTCGATAACTGTGTTCTGAATAAGTTATTCCCGCACTGACATGGACGTTACAGCTGATCGGCGTAGAAGCACTTAGCTAAAGCACCACGGAAACCGATACTTTGCTTCTTGACTGATATGATTTAGGCAGATGCTACTTCGTTTTACATGAGCTGGCGATAGCTCAAAGCATTAGAATAATTTACCAAGTAGTCATTGTTAAAGGCACCGCTCACAAACAACTTGTATGAGGTTTTTCGCTGCTTTGACAACTTTCCAGCTGATTGTCACCATTGTAAAATAAAATGCAGTCAAGCATTGAAGTCATGCATCTACTGAGATTGTAAAACAGTTTAACCTGGTTGACTAAACTTTAGTACTTACCCCTACGGACAGTGATTTGTAGTCTACCGCAGAAACGGAACACAGGCTTACCTCTCCGATCCAGTAATCGTATAATGAGACCACATTTTCCTCATCGCCGAAGCGTATCGCAAGTCGATAATCGTGTGTTCGGAGATTCTTCTGTTTTGACAACAGCTGAATGGCGTCCTTGATTACAGGTACGGGGTCCGTCGGCTCTGTGGTATAGGTTTTCAAGTGTTTCACATCGAAAGATGGTCCCTCATCCTTTCCGGCTTGCCGTTTGCTCCTGGTGGAAATGAACAAGAAAGTATGGTATGTAGCAGCAAGTTTGCCACATGAGAAAGGTGAGCGTGATCAAATGGACCGGAACATTGCAATCATATATTTGAGGGTTCCGTGGTTATCGTATGATGGAAGCCTCAAGTGGACTGTATTACATGAGGTATGTTCTCCACCGTTGCCCCATGCTGAGGATGATGTTGCATTCTTGATGCATCTTCACCGCAGTTGGGCTAAAGCAACTTACACTTAAACTAGGTCTCTTTAAGCTGCATAAATTTCATTCCAGTTTATTTGGTTAGTTTTGCCTATCTGAATTGTCTTCTATTAGCTGGTCACGTTGTTTCTGCTAACTGTGCTTATCTTCGGTAATTTTGTCGCGTTTGTAGCATTTTTGAGTAACTTGTGGACATTTTTTCCTTATCGTGAATTCATTGCTAACCATCTTACTTCATATGGTAATTTAGGGAAGAGTTATGCCACCGTATCTGTATGCATTATTGGATTTATTTTATTTCATTTTGTCGTTTCAAGTGATTGGCTGTTGCTTGATATCCCCGGTGTGGTTGCGCTTGATGTGCATGTTGACAAGGTGCCTACCTGTCTATTACCCACTACCTCGTCCATACTGGCTCCAGGAGACAGTTGGTCGTTGCTGGAGGGGACGGGGTGCACGGTCCTTGTGGCCGTGCTAGGCTCAAAGAGCGGTTCCATGCACTCAGTGTGGAGCGGACTACGGTCCATCCAAAGCCTTGTGTGCACTTGATTCCCCAAATACAGCGTGCTTGTGTTTGCCTGTGAAGGAGTGAGGGACGGCTCCGTTGATGAGACGTGGCTCCCATCCACAGGCCTCCCGGTCTTATTCCTTCGTGTTTACACTGGATATGGGGTGTGTGGTTGGAGCTGTGGGTGGTGCAGCGCAAGCCACCCATGGTCCCTCTGTAGGCGCAGGCGTCCTGTGGCTTGACACAGTGACAGACAAATCCGAAACCGGATGCCGCCAACCATGTTCTCCACTGTAGACACCATCCCATTCTTGATTTCCGTTCCAGTAATATGAGTGGAAGTGACTGAAGAACTAAGTCCACAGCTGCTGTAATTTGTGTTCAAAAATTCAACAATAAAGTGAATGAGTAACAAAGAGGCATTTTAGTTTGGAGGACACAGCCGGGGCAAACCAAGTCGTGAAATTTGATTTCTAAACAAGGTTAGTTAAAATGAAGCACAGCTTAACCTAGAAATATTGCTTTTATAACCTCCACAGTAGCTTGGATGTGCATAGGTAATTTCAGAATTCTTCGGCATCGGGCCATTTGATGAGTTCAAACATTTGTATTCAACTTTTACAAACGGCGAGCATCCATCACGATAGAACAACGAATCAACACATAGAGTCCTTCTTCAGACCGTAACTGAGCGTACTGCTGAGGCGTGCGATATGAACGAATCTGTCATGTTGGGATTTCATTATGGTTATACTGGTCTGAGTGGTTTCAATTCCTGTGACTTTGATCCATAGGGGTTAAATGCGGTCACTATATGGCTGGCGGCATTCGATTCCTTATGTGCCTGACACTGCTGCCTCTATAGGACAGCCACAGGACACCTGCACCGAAAGAGGAACTATGAGTGGTTTGCTTTACAAAGGAAAAAGGATTTAATCTGATCTAGTGTTATAAGGAAAAAAGCATACTTTATAGCCACTTTAGCCTAAACGCGGTGAAGCAGTACGGTAACTGCAACAGCAACATAAGTATGAGGTTGAATTCACTTTATCTTATTTGCTCAATTCTGTTGATCTTTCGCACATGTCCCGTTTACCTTGTGTACTTTTGTGTTATTTTCGATGTTCGTCGATTGATATTCTCTAGTATCACGTGCCTCAGATAACGTATACATTTTGATTGACTCTGTTCTAATATGCTGCTGCATATTTGCTTTCTAGTTTGTAAATTTGTGTTCCGTTATATTGTGTTTTATGTTTGATATACCCGGTGTGGCTGCGCTTGAGGTGAATGTTGACCAGATACATACCTATCAAAAAACCACTACCTCGATTATCCTGGATCCAAGAGACAATCGGTCATTGCTTGGGGAGACGGATTGTACGGTCTTCGTGCTAGGCTCAAAGAGTGGTTCCACCCATCCAGTTTGGAATGAGCGACGGCCCATTCACCGGGTTGGGCACCTGTGATCCGCATGGTTCCCATGTGAGATAGACACGGATGCTGCTGCTGCGCAACTTAAAGGAGTGTAGACCGGAAGACATGTGATTCCCATCCACATTCTTCCCGGTCGTATTCCTACGGGTTTACAACGCTTAAGGGGTGTATACATGGGGATGCGAGTGTTGCAGCACAAGCCCTCTACGGTTCATCTTTAGGTGCGGGTGTCCTGTGGCTGTCCTATAGAGGCAACAGTGTCAGGCATATAAGGAATCGAATGCCGCCAGCCATATAGTGACGGCGTTTAACCACTATGAATCAAAGTCACAGGAATTTAAACCACTCAGGCCGGTCTAACCATAGTGAAATCCCAAGATGACAGATTCGTTCATACTGCACGCCTCAGCGGTACACGCGCCGTATCGGTCCGAAGAAGGGCTCCATGTGTTGATTCGTTGTTCTATCGTGATGGATGCTCGCCGTTTGTAAAAGTTGAATACAAATGTTTGAACTCATCCAATGGCCAGATGCTGAAGAATTCTGACATTACCTAATGCATATCTACGCTACTATGGAGATTATAAAATCAATATTTTTAGGTTAAGCTGTGCTTGATTTTAATTAACCTTGTTTAGAAATCAGATTTTCTCGATTTGATTTGCCTCGGCTATGACCTCAGAAGTAAGTTGCCTCTTTCTTTCTTTGTCATTAAGATTTTTAGGCAACAGTCGTCCGGCTTCGACTGCTTTCATACATATTTCTGTTGGCAGTTTATTGCTCAAGTTGTGCCTGCTTCCAAGAACCTCTTCATTGGTTGTAGGGTGTGCCGGGACTAACGTTGCCCTCTGCAACATGCATTACATGCGTGGCAGTGGCTCAGTGGCACAAGCTGCTGGGTGACAATTCAAGCCACAAGGGCACGTGAGTTCCAATTCTGACGGATTCTGCGGATGCGCAATATCCTCGAAACCGAATAGATGGAAACGGCTGTGGTGTGCTCTTAGAGGTATGCAAAGGACTACCTGATTTGAAAACCGCTGCGCAAAAACGCATTGCATCAATCTGCTGGTCTTCAACCGTGCGTTGTCAATGGAGGGGACAATACGTATGAAGGTCGACATGAACTTACTCTACCGTCCCAGTTATATGTAGAAATGCCGTCGAGCATTTACTCAGTAATTTCAAGTTCCATGGATCTGAGTTTTGGATATCGGGCTCGGTAAACACAACAAATCAAAGGTAATTGAGAAAGATGCAAAAGTGCTAGGAATACCGAGATATAAACCGTCTCGTTCTGAAACTTTATAGAGGTACACTCCTATCGTTCGACCCAGTGACAGTCAGTCACAATAGAATTACAAGGGAAGGAGACCTACGTTTGAATAAACCAGCTGTATGAACTTTAGAGGTGGGATGAAACACAACGTTTGCTTTACGCTGTGAAAGATGTCTGGGTGTGATCTTGTTCAATGTTTGTGCACTGAGCATCATGGCGATAGTCGCCAAGCACCATGCGCCTAGTTCCACCTCCAGCTCAGCTATCTCTACCTGCTGAGTCTAAGCAAAGACGAAACCGTCGGTTGTGATGTGCAGGGATGGAAAAGAGCCACACCGAAACCCTGCACTTTGGTGACGGTCCCAGTGACCGTAATGGCAGAGACTGACTTCAAGGTCAACCGTGGCCACGATTGAGATTGCGTGTCGAAATTCAAGACATACGGCGGGTGATCCAAAATGCGGAAACCAACTTCGAAACGCTGTGTGAAGCACTGCTCAAAGAGCTTAATCGTCTAGTGCTCATGGCGATAGCAGCCAGGCACTATGCGCAGAGTTCCACTCCCAGCTCGGCTATCTCTACCTGATGAGTCTAAACCAAGAGGAAACCGTCAGTCGTGAAGTACAGGGATGGGAAAGAGCCACACCGAGACCCACCACCAACTATAGTTACAGAGAAATGTAAAGCAGCACTTTTATTTCACAAGTGCAAACACAGACCCCAAAACACCGTGTGCATGCCAACTTCCAGCGTACTGTGTCAACTACTTTCCGACTGGTGTTTAGCTTCCCTTACAGTTTGCTCAATATTTATTCATCAATATGCAAATGTTAACAAAGTGATCAGTGCTAATACCATACTGAATTCTGAATACTGTATTACAGAGCAAGTAGAATTGAATTCTGTACAACTTTTTCGAAATATGGTAAAAAAAAGTTATAAAAGTTGCCAACCGTGAATATCGTTGTCGTTCTCATGTAACATTTAACATATCTGACTTACGATATTTCAGGACTCACAAACGTGATATGTCATCGTAAGTGTGCAATCGTTCTCTAAATCGAATAGTGGTAAAATATAAATCTAACAACGTTTTGAACGTCTGCAGATGTTGCCTCCATCACTTGTTCAGGTAAACTGTTCCAAATATTTACCACTCTCCGTTCGAAGCACAGTGGGTGGGGAACAAATTTCACATCCGGCACGACAAGTTTGTATCTGTATCCGCGTGTGCTGCATGGCCCTCGTAAGTGTAGCATTGGCTTTAGCATTGGGAAGTCACCGAGATGTAGAATACGGTAGGTCATAATGAGGTCGACTCGCACCCGACGGTAGGACAAAGTGCAGTCCTAGTTTCTCACACCGGTCTTCATAACCCAAGCCACGTAAACTCGGGATGAGCCTGGTAGCAACGTGTTGAACCCGTAAAGAGTTAACCCCAACGTCGTTAGTCACACGAAAATACATTCCAAATTGCGCCATCACCTCATGGAATAATCCTCAAAACTCATCGGCGGAGATTGATTGACTTACTGTTTGCCGGCTGTGTCTATTTTGCTAGGCTGC